GGCTGCTACCGCAGGGTGTTGCATTTGATAGCCCAGTGTTCTGTTTGCTTCTGTGCTCCAGAGCGACAAAGGTGACTATAAAGGGAACTGAGTTTTCCCGTGTTTCCCCCTCTTCCAGATTTAATCATCCTTGCAAAACACTGAGTCTGTATCCCTTAATAGTGCCCTGTTACACCTTGATGAAGATATGTATCCCTGGAAAGAGCTTGTGCTGCTTCACTGACTTGGTCAGGTGGACAGATTTTCTCCCTTTAATGACACATATAATGAGGCTGTCTACTGAGCCCGGCTCCTACAAAAAAGACTCTTATTCTCAGCAATTGCTGGTCAATCAATTGTAACATACACCTCATTTCTGTTCATTCACACCAGCAGGTTCCTGTGCCTTTAATTTGTTGTACAATTAAATGTAATAACAGAGAGATCAATAGATAACATGCCCATTATTTTGCTCAGAAAGTGCTTCTTAAATGAGGTTATTCAGTTCAAATCAGGTACAAGTGTAAGTAGCTCTAAAAGGAACCTGAGGTTGAGTAAAGCTGTGCTTCCACTTACATCCTTGTACATCTTTCACACGGAGGGCTGATAATCAAATGATAATGCTAACTTTAATACTGACATGGTTTCATCTGGGAATCCCTTATAACCTTGTCAACAACCTCCTGGGAAGAACTCTACCAGTCACAGCCTTGCTGTCTACTTGAAGAGACTGGCAAAGTCTATGGTGTCTTGTATAACTCTTGATTTTAAGTGCTATATTTCTTTCTCACAGTGCCTGAAAAATTCTTTCTTGATTTTAAGGTCCTTGCACATTTACTGGAGGGCAGTTTACCTCTGGTTAAACAGTTCTAATGAGCTGAAATAATTTTAAAGACATTTATGAAATACTGGGGACAACTCTACAGGCTCTCTGAGAGTTGTTTATTTCCAGATATTCCCACTTGGAAGCTGTGACTCTTGAGGGTTTACCTACTATGTCAGCAGGGTCCCCGATGAAGTCTCTAAACAGCAGCAGACAAAGGGTTTGTTTTCAACAGAGCTGTGCAACCTCACCAAAAAAACATAAGCTGAGCCTTAAGCCAAGCTTGCTGAAGCACTTGTGTGACAGGAGAGGTAAATCTGCACAAAAGGCTTCATAGCACAGGCAGGACAGCAAGGTAGTGTGACTCACAGTCCAGAATTCCAAACATTGCCTGGGACTTTGCCCATCATACTAATGCTCTGGGCACATTTCAGAACAGCCATCTCTGGGCTGTAGCTCTGTCAGGAGTTATAAATTGGATCTTTTCCTTGGTGCATACTGAGGTTGTATCAGAGAGGGCTGACCCCTCAATACTGAAAGGTCATAGATAGAAGAATCTGCCCTGCTGAAGTGATTTGTAATGTGCCTTATGGATTCTGCAGTATTATTACAGCTATTCTGCAGCTCTGTCAGCTCTAGATTGAAGGCCCCATGAATAGTGTGAAAACAAAGCAACAAGCAGAAATATTTTGTTTTGCTGAACAGTTCTGTTTCAGCACATGATAAATTAGTGTATCAGTTTTTTTCCTCTCCTCAGCCTGACTTTGTGTAAGTCTTCTCTTAGATTTCACTTTGTTTATGTTTATGGGAAATGTATCCTTAAAAAGCCGTTCATTGTCATGTGTTTCCTTCCAATAGCTGTTTTGATAAACAGCATATAAGCACTTCCATGGTCAGTCTTTTTTGTCTAAAGTGTTAGTGTGAAGGTGCCTTGTCTACACTGAATGTTCTTCCCATGTTACGTCTTGGCTGGAGCCTGTGTTACCCAGACACTCACCAAAATGTCAAAAATCTTCTAATGACCTTAATTTAATTGCATATTATTATCCATCATAGAACGAGAAAGGAAGAGAGACCAGAAAAATAAGCATATCTGTTGCAATTGATTATCTATGAAATAATTTATGCAGTAGATTGTGTTGTTGGTACTTTCGTTGCTTTTATTTTGTGAGTTTTCTATAAACTGGCACACCAGAAAAGACTATTTAAAGTAGAGGAACTGTGCGCCAGCTAGAGCAGAGGTGGAAAAAGAAATATCCCTCGATTTCTTTGTTAATAGTCAACCTTCAGTTACCCCAGTTGGATTATTTGAGTTGTAGATTTATCAGTGTCATGGGTAAAGGATCTTAGAATAGCAGCAGAGTTAGATGAGTACAGTGATTCATGATGAAGGCTATATTGCTTTCAGGGTGAGCTCATCACTGGAAGCAATATAGCTGTTGTCTCATGAGGCAGCTGGCTTCACACTGTGATAACTTGGACATTTTTGCATGTTGTTACCAAGACTGGGATGCCAGGGATTTCAGTGCAGGCTTCATCTCCATTTGGCGATAGCTTCAGTTTGGTGAAGATGATGAGCTCCAACAGGCAAAATGGACCTGACTCTTTATGAAATGACTGCTTCGATACTGCTTCCCAGGTAGTGCTCCTCATCCAGAAAGATGATTTAGTAGACTTCAATGTCACACAGGTACATAGACCCTGGTCTGTCAACTGGATTGGCTGGATGAGGAGCACTCCCCAGGGGAGCACTGTGGCAGGCGTGCAGTGCTGTGTTTGAGATTCTGCCAAGTTTGAATCTGGCAGACTAACAGTGCTGCTGCTGCACTGGGATGCAGTGTTCAGTATGCAGAGAATACCTTCGAGAGAACTAGTCTCTCTCAACCAAGCATACCTTAACTGGTTCAAGCCTGCCGATAGGTTTGTTCACTGGTCTGTGCTGTCTACTATTACCTTCTTTATTACCTTCTTTGTAGTGTTATCTGTATTATCCAAGCTTTTCCTACTATCTGCTGGTATAGCAGCTTTCCTTTAGCTCCAAGAACTGACTGTGATTTGACTAGATTTGTGCAACCTTAGATACAAGATATGCTTTGAATGAAGCTGATTTTGGAGACACATTTAGGTATTAACTTAGAATTTTCCTTTTCCTTTTTTTTTTTTTTTTTCCAAAGTACACTGAGATCCATCACTAAACAACATAGTAGATTCTGCCTGTCTTTCTATCTCTTCAGCAACTTTTTTTTACCTCCTCTAAATGTCTCATGCCTTTCCTCAATTGTTGTTCGTCATTAGCATCTTCTCCTTCATAGGACAGCTTTTTTTTTTTTTTTTTTTTTTTTTTCACCAGCTGATCTTTTTTTCTTGTTCCCTTCCCAGCACATATCCCATGTTTCTCCTTCTCATGGGTAGGCTATGATTGTAATTTGAATAATGGCTGATCTATGACTCCTTGGCCAGTGCCAGGAAAGTAACTGCAAGGTCAGCTGTCTGTTGCCGAGAGACATCTCAGTATTTCAACATTTAAAGAGAACAAGAACTCTCACCTTCCTTAGCCAAAATCAACACCTGTACACTGGTGGATCCTGAAAAAGTGAGATGGAGATCACATGTTTCTTAATATAATTTCTAATTAAGAATTATTTAATGTTAAGAATTATTTAATGTTTTGGTTCTGTACAAAAATATAGGAATAAGAAAGCAGAAATATCGAGAGCGCTTTTGATCACAAAATGGATGCACTTTTTCTGCTTCAAAGTATTGTCTCCTTCTCTGATTGCTTCATCAGCTCTTGCAGTTGAAGTCTGATATGCATCACTGCTACAGGAAACCCAGATAGCTCTTTGGCAAAAATGTGTGTGTTGTTGGACAAATGTATCAGAAGATAAAAATATCTTAGACAACTCAGACATGGAAGTGGTATTACCGATGTTTGTGAAGAATAAGTTGACCAAACAGTAAGGACTCGTGATGCAGATTTTTCAGGCATGTCACCATACCTCAAAACACACTGCACTGAAAAAGATCAAAGTGAATCCTGATACTATCTCCTCCAGCTTTATGACAAAATTAAATGTTTAAATCTGCGGTTCATGGTTTACCCTGATTTTCCTCTTCCATTTCTGCCAATGTGATGTGATTTCAGGGAGGGCCCTGAGAAGACAGTAATCTAACACTAGAATCTGAAGTTTCAGTCAAGACCAGCTGCCATAATTAATGCTTATTATTACTGGCAGTGATTAATAATAAACAGAGATGGCTGAAAAACACCAGTTCTTTTTGAAATCAGAAAATGAAATAATATTTTAATTGAAAAGCTGAATTTAAAAGGAAATAAAATCAAAAGCAGGTTTTGGAAATATTTTTCATGTAAACTTTATTTTTTGAAAATATCAGACACAAACCCTTGTGCTAAAAATGCTTGCTTTCTTTCTATTGTTAGGTGTAAATCAGTTTTTTTATTTTCTGATTAGGAATGAATGGCCTTATTACATCAAAGGTACAATCAGAAAATTTCAACCATTTGTGCCATGGCCCTGCCTGCATCTCCCAACTGCCCCCCCTTACCCTGACCCTGCGGCCTTCCTCGTCTGCCCATGGCCCAGGACCTCACATCAGCCCCTGCCCCAGCAATGCCAATGTCTCAGCAGGGATGGTCTCCAGCTTACCACAGCCCTGCCCAGCCAGGCCATGGGGCAACACTAACAGTAAGTAGGAATACAGCCATAAATAACAAGCAGTGGGCATAAAAAAAAAGTGAGCCACCATCATCAAGTAAAATCAGAATTTGCTGTAAATCAGTCACTCATGGCAACTGCATGGTCAGTGTCTTGTGTGCATGTGTGTCTTTTTATCTCTTTCACTTGCATGGAGAGGAGGAAGAGCTAGATAGTACCAGACAAATGTAGACTGTATATATTTTTTGGATTCTCCTTGCCCTTTTCCAAGGAAAATACATAAGCATGAGTAACATTAGCTCTGTCACATTTTCTTTGGTGCAAATGAGATGTTACCCTAGCACTGTTGTTTCATGTCCTGTGTTGAGTCATGCAGTGTGGATACTTTATCCAGCCTGTGTCTCTGCTATAAGACCACAGATCATGTTATCACTTTACAAATATAGCATATTAGTATATCTGGAAGGCTAGTCACGCTGTGGGGTTCAAACAGGTCTGGCTGGCCATGAGCTATGCTGCTGCTATAAACAGCCTCAGTATCCCAAATTGAATAACCGCTGAGCACACTTGGGAGATCCGGACACTCGCGTTCTTTAGTAGTAGGTAAGTGACAGTTTTGCTGATTATCATGTTTCTTCAGATGTGTGGGGTCAAGGTGGGAAATGTCAGGGAAAATGAGAAGTTGTTACCAGGTGTTTGTTGCTGCTACAGTGTTGTGGATTTTTAAATGCTAATGTAAATGGGAAAAATAGCTGAAACACTGAGTACTTGTCCAAAGTGTAGGAGTCACCCCATATATAGTTCCTCTAAGTAGATTTACACCTGTGACAAATCCAAACTTTATAATTTAGGAAAGCTTTCAAGACTCACTCCATGATTCAGTTGTAATAAACCCTTGCTATTACATCTCAAGGACATATGATGGTATGAGAATAGTTTTCAATAAAATAATGGTTGGAGAGGTTGGTCATTTATCTTTGTTGTCTGTCAACGTTTAGAGTGGAATTTAGAAAGAATTATAGAACTTCAGTTTCTGAAGGCCACTTGCAGCTAATCTAGCTCACATAGGAAATCTAACCTGCTAAATCTTTTGTGAACAAAGACTTTAATTTGAAGTCAAATATTGTCATTATTGTTGCTGTTGTTGCTGCTCTAAGTATTTATGTGCTAACACTGACATGTTACTTTCTGTAGGCTTCTGTCAGAGCTACTGACCAGCTCTCTTCCTCTCAACAGTAGTTAACTGAGCATTGTTTCAAGGATAAGTGATGAATGGTAATGCCCATTAACCAAAGAGGTAGACCCTACCAAAGAGGTTTATACACTTTGCTCTCCTCAGGCAGAAGGTAAATGTGGAGAATTTTTCCAAGGAGGATGTCCAGCTGTCCATGCCACCTGTGTCTCCTATCCACAGGCATGGGAAGGTTTTGTGGGAAAGGTTAAAGACACAGCTGTGGTGAGGGAAGAAAGCTGATAAAATACAACTACCACCTCATGACCATGTGGTGGGGTTTGGATCATTTGTGATAAAATATCTTGTCTGCTAGAGCAGTTGAAAACAGCATCTTCTCTTTCATATCTGAATTGTTTGCCATATTTTTTTATATCACGGTATTTGCTTAGGAACTGGCTATGAGCATTTTACTCATAATATGAGTAAAGTGACTGTGTATCTAACGCTGGAAATAGGAGTAAGAGGCTTGAAGCTACCAGTCAGACTTAGATTTTTGCTCTACTTCTCCAGTAGAGGAAGATGCAGATGATAGGACTGGTATCTTAGATCAATTCATGCAAAATGGACCCCTAGGAGTGAAAGAAAATGATCAAAATTTTGAAGGTCTTTGACTAGTTTCAATTAGGACAGGGAGTTTAAAAAAACATTTATGATGTTGTTATACACATAGATAACTTCAGAGGCTGGACCCTGTACACAAATGTAACACTAGTAGCCTTACTTCCTGGGGATGGTCCAGGTCCATTAACCTTAAGACAAATGAGAATAAGTCACTGAAGCATTGTGCTAAAAAATCGGATACCATAAAACAGGTCTTAAAAACCTGAGATTGTAATTTTATGCTTAATTAAGATCATCTAATTGTATATGAAAGTGTCCATGTTTTGTTCAGTGGCACTGAGCACCCTTTTATTTGCTATGGGTCTTTGTATGAGTAATTAAGTGGGGTCTCTCTAACCAGTTCTTAGCACACACTCTAGCTTTCCCAATACTCTGTTGGCTGATACCTAAGACAATTGTTTTTACCTGCTGACTAAAGCTACATTCATAGATTCAACCACATTTAAAAATATGTAATACGCCTTTGAGTTTACTGTTTTTCCTTTGACAAGGAACAGCCTTAACATATATGCCCATTTCAAATACATCAGCCCTCTCTCAGTCTTGTGAGAATTAGACCTCTCTTCAGCAATGCCCAGTGAAAAAGAAGAGAATGGATTTATGTCACAGACATCAGTCCAGTGTTTCAGTAGCTTAATTGTTAGTGGAAGAATCACTTTAAATAATTAGTCAGCTTACCAAAGAGCCAGGGGAATACATCTGTAATAAATCCCCCTGCATATGTAACATCTATCATGCTTGATGGCAAACATATTATTTCTACAAGAGTTGAGGAAGTATAAGGAATATTGTAATTCAGCTGGTAATTAATCCATAATTAAAGACCTAATTAATGAATAACCCTGTGAAAAAATGTCTAAAAATCAAGATGTGAAGGCTGCAGTGATAAAGAGGAATCTTGTTTGTGAGACCGGTTAATTTACATCTAGAATAGGAACTGATTAATGAAAACTGTCAGTAAGGTATTGTGCTGCAGCACTAGACAAAGAGAAATATGCACATAAAATGTGTGGAAACCAAGCTCAGTCTTTACATATCTATATTCACATATCTTTTTAATTTTATGATGTTCATAATTATTTCTACCTGAAGTATAAGAGGTAGATTAAAGAAAGACATTTGGTCTCTTAGCTGTGGTATGTGAACAATGCAAAATTTATTTATTTGTGTGTGAAAGAGGCTAATGTCAAATTCTGTTCTGAAAGGGTTCTTTTATGAAATAGCTAAAACAGAAAGCTCAAAAAGGACTTGATTCATCAGAGCATGCAGGATTAATCCCTGTGATATACAAAACAAGTAATTTCTGAAATTAACTTCAGTGGAAGCTGGACTAATTAATAGCTTGAAAGTGTCACTGTCTGTCTGTGTTTGTTTATCTAGGAGCCGGCTGTCTGAGAGCGTGCTCTTCAGAGACCAGGAGGGAATATTTCAAACTCCCAAAACATCTGGGCTTGTGTCCAGGTGTCAGGACTGTTTTCTCCAGCTCTGGAGCAGCTTGTCCCTTTCCTCTTCTATTTATTCTGTGATGCGGCAGCATTTGCTGGATCTCTGTGGATTCAGGCCTTCAGGGTGGCAGCCACTGTGATAGATCGCATGGCCCTGCTCATGTGTTCCCCAGGACTCAGTTATTACATGCAGGCATATATGACCTGAAGCACAGTCTAACTTGGATCCCTGACCCAAAACTCTTGAATGTCAAATCTGCACATTCAGCACGTCTAATGACAGATAAACCAGCCATATTAGCAGGGCAGAAATTTCCCTGCTGGCATAGAACAACAAGACATTGTTACTGGCATCAGGACTAGGTAGTTGTCTTTGCAGTCCTCTCCTGCTCCCCAAGTAACACAGGGCAGCACTAACCCACTTACAAGCGATGCACAGTTAGCACAATATAGTATAGTATGAACATTGTCACTATTTCTATTGCTCTTTCAACCACAACATGTTTCTGTAATTAATATTTCCCTGATAACATAAAAAATGTGTTCAGTTGCTGTCCAAATGTCAGATTTCCTTAGAATTATTTAAAGATTTGTGAGATAAATGACTTGGTCATTCTGAAGCACAGTGTGAGTAAGCTTATTTCCTAAGAAATTATTTGCAAGATTGGTAGGAAATATGTTCACCCACTTTTTCCCTTATGTAATCCTGCCAGTAATATTCATAAGATTGCAGCAGATCTCCCACAGTCATTATCTGAAAGAAAAAGGACCCAAGTGTACAAGGATGTTAAATCAAACCAAAACATTTATAATTTGGTAATTCATGTAAAGCAGCAAAGGAAAGTATACACAGTGCTGTTACTAAGCGCAGCCAGGCCCCATACAAACTCAGGAGGGCTGTGACAGAGACTAATACTGTCTGTATCTGTAGTATCAAAACCATGCTGCACATCTTCCAGACTCAAGAGAAGACACAACTCTTGTTCTACAGAATACACAGTGCACAGGCAAGTTGTCCAGCTAACACTGGTGACAGCTGTGTTCAGAGGAGGCTAGACTGTGGTATAATTAAGCTAATATAGTTTTGGTTTATGACTGACGGTATTCAGCGCACCACAGACAAGACAGAGACAGCAGGGAGAAGACATAGAAGAATTGATACAGTTAGTCCTGGAAGGCCACAGAGTCGTCATATCTATCACATTTTTTCCGCTGTGCTCCACTACATTCCTTGAAGAAGACCTGGCCTTGTCCTTAATATCTTGTAGTATGCTCCTTAGTGCATCTATACATTGGTATATTTCAGATGCTGAGTGCTGAAAGGCTGCAAACTCTTCATTCAATGAAGCTGCTGATTTGAAGAGCACTTCTTTTCTGTGGAAGGCCCTCTGTCTGGTATTCAGTGTTACTTTTCGCTTATGCATCTTTAAACGGCTTGCTTCGAAAGATCAGACAGACCATGGCATCTTATGATGCAAGCACATGTAACTTCAGCGTTAAACACCAGAAGCTGACAAAAGGCAGTCTCATTCTAAAATCCAGTTGCCTGAGTGTTGCTCCATGTCCCAGTTTGGTTACACTCATGGGTATATATTTCAATTCATCATTTCACCCTTTTTTTATTAAGCCCAGAAAAAAAAAAAAAGCAACACCTGCTCTGGGTTCAGAGGCTAGGTGGTAACATATACAAGTAAGTGGCCATGAGATCACTGGCTGCTGTCAAAGATGACTGGAAACATCTGGCAGGTCTGTGGCAGAGCTGTAAATGATGGATGGAGATATCAGTAACTGAAGGAAGCAAGGGCATTTAAGTGGTAACATATTGAATCTCTCCAGTTTTACTGGTGGGGTGATGTGATATGAAGTACTCATATCTTTGTATCAACAACATGAATAACAATAAATAGAAAATAATAAAGATTATAGACATCAGAAGGCAGATATCTTCTTTTCCATTCTGTAGTTTTTCAACACCTTACTGAATAGATTCTGGTCTAGAGCTCCTGGGTACTCCTGCTATTTAAAGAAGAAAGCCTAATGTAGATGCTAGAGAACTCTGTATCTTTAGGTGAATTTATACTATAAAATACAATAAATGATAATATAAATGATAGAAATAATCCATACAGCTATCTGAGCAGATGCTTTTACTAGCAATAACATTTAGCATTAATGTATAATTTAAATGAAAACATATGATAAGTATTATCACTAAGATTTTGCTTTTTTGTCAACTAATCCTCCAAATGCTTAAGAGTGCCAATATCTCTATACACATAAAGACTGTGTTTGATTTCAATATG